ACTCTGCGAAGTTTTCACTGTCCCCCATCCCTGTTTTTTTTTCGCATGCTAATTTTTAAGAATTTCGAATTTCTTAATGGATTCGCTGTGTCGTTGCTGTTGCACAGCTGCCCCGGCGATAGTTTGCCTATTGGCTAGGGAAAATATGAAATGAAAATGAGAATGAAAAAAAAAAAAAACAAATCAAAATGAAAGAGTTTTTGACTTTGGTTCGGTTTTTAACCCTAGCCTATTGTGCGCCCGGCTGCTACTTTAATTCCCATGCGCCTCGGCCCACCCCTCTCCCTGCTGCTGGACCGGATGTGCTCATTGTGCGTCATTTCCACTTATCACCCAGGGGAATTTGCAGCTTGCCGGAAGCGCTCCATTGCCCAGCTGCAGCTGGTGTCAGTCCCAATCCCAAACCCAAATCCAATCCCAGTTCCAATACCAATCCCAATCCCAGTCGCACTCAAGTTCCCAGCTCCGAGACCAAGTCCAAACTTTGTCGCATGCTTCAAAAATGCGTAAATCAAACTAAAAACAAACGGCAGCGGCTTGCCATGAATTAGTATTAGTGTAAAACGGCTTTTAATAAGTCGGACAGGCCCGCATCTCCATGGCCATGGCATGCATGTTGGACGCCATTAAGCGGACAGCGGACACTGGACACTGGACACTGAAGAGTGGACGGCGGTGGGCCTTGGCCGGACGGGCTGGCCATCCGCAACGACAAAGTCAATTGCGGTAGCCGCAAAATGGAATTTTGTTTTAAAAACTTCTGTACTGCAAAATGGCTCGCTATGGGCGCATAAATTTCAAAGCTCTTGCTCACATTGTATACCCTCGCTGAGGAACTTTCAATTTTGTAATGTAATGAGTAACGCATATAGCCTTTGACTTCTTGATCAAAGTTGAGTTGATGAACCTTCTAAAACTTTAGCCGAATCGACTGGATCGTAGCACTATATCCTTGTTATTATGTAGTATGTAGTATGTAGTATGTAGTATGTAGTATGTAGTATGTAGAATGTAGTATGTAGTATGTAGTATGTAGTATGTAGTATGTAGAATGTAGTATGTAGTATGTAGTATGTAGTATGTAGTATGTAGTATGTAGTATGTAGTATGTAGTATGTAGTATGTAGTATGTAGTATGTAGTATGTAGTATGTAGTATGTAGTATGTAGTATGTAGTATGTAGTATGTAGTATGTAGTATGTAGTATGTAGTATGTAGTATGTAGTATGTAGTATGTAGTATGTAGTATGTAGTATGTAGTATGTAGTATGTAGTATGTAGTATGTAGTATGTAGTATGTAGTATGTAGTATGTAGAGTGTCTGCAAGTGTATTTAATCATACACACAGTCATCCGCCTTTCCATTGGCGTAGTGTGTAGTGTGGGGGATCCCATAACTTTACCAAACAAGCTGGCAACGCTGTGACATATGTAGAAATGTGTGTTGTAAAGCTACTAATTAGAAATAAATACTGTACATTTAACTATAATTGATTTGAAATGCTGCTTCGAAGGTGGTTTAAGACTGTTACAAACGTGTTTCAGCATTCATAATTCAAAAAGTATTTAAGCCATGTTGCAGGGCATTTGGTACAAATCTAGTTGCTATAGGTTTATGGAAAGGCAATGGGCTATATATTAACGCTTAACGCTATATACATATATAATTATGTTCATGGGCAGTGGCATCAATGTATTAACATATTTCTGGCTTTTGGCGCATAAAAGTTAAAAAGCAAATTATGAACCCTATGTAAAATGTTTACAAAGTATTTACGAGCCTGTCGGACTTCTGGGCTCTGCATGCTTTGATAACTGATCTATGTATTTTGTTGTTGTTTTGTCCTGTTCTTGTTGCTTTTTTGTTGTTTGTTTTTTGGCAATTTCAAACATGCAACATGTTGCAATGGAGTTATAAACCAGCCCCAAAATTTCAAACTTTACAGACGACTTATATAAGGAATGTATATAGCCGCTGGAGGGCAGCGGCACGTAGGGGCGGAAGGTCCGCGCGTGTGAGGGCAGCATGCCAAATGGAAAAAAGTTTTTGCCTTAATTTTTGGCGCTTTTTCTTCTTTTTTTTCGTATTTGGTATACTCTGACGCTTTATTAACGTTGCCCTGTTTTAGGAGAGGGTGACCTGGCAGAGCAGGGCAGGGCAGGGGAGGGCATGGAGTGTGTATGGAGTGTGGGGCCTGTGGAGGGTTTGTTTGTTTGCTGGCAGCAGCGCAGCAAGTAATATTTTTGCCGCATAAAAGTCAAAATATGCAAATAAAGCAGGCTCTTCTTGTTGTTGCTGTTGCTGCTGCTAAGGAGCAGGTGGGGCAAGAAGGGGCAGTGGGGGGAATGGGGGCTAATACACCAGCAGTCAGACACAGAGACAAACAGACACAAACGAAAGCCCCAGCTAGAACAATGTGCATATAGATGCGAGGGGATGGAGGGGAGGGATGGTGAGGAGAGGCGTAAGGGGTGAGGGGTTCGACTAGGCGAAAGAGAGAGTGAGAACAGCGTGGCTTAAATAATAAATGTAGTACACGCTTTGAAAGAATTTACTATGCTTTGGCAAATGGAAGTTATAAAAACCAAACACACACACACACACACGCACACACAAGCACACACATACAAGCACACACACAAGCACATGTGCATGGCATATAAATAAACAATGCCCCTATATAACCCGAGGCAAGCCGGAGTAGTGGAGAGGTAGCGGCATTTCCATATTGTTGCTATAATCAGCGGCTGCTTTGATTCATCTGCATGCACGCGCGATGCCGGGACATTGTTGTGAGGGGAGCGGGGAGTGCCCACCATTACCACCACCAAGTCAAAGGCAAAGCCATAGCCATAGCCAGAGCCAAAGCTAAATCCATAGCCAAAGCCTTAGCCTGGGTGCCGCCGACACCCCAACGACATCATCATCAAAGTCAACCCAAACGGGCGAAGCAACCACCAAACGGTCTCTCCACATACAGACTCCGGTGACTCCGTTGGCCCAACTTCAACTCCGACATTGCTCCGACATGCTGTTGCCTGCAATTTAGTGCCGGCATCGGGCTCAACAACTTCAAGTCACGACACGACTTAAGCACGACTCTGCTGGCACATTTAGTCAGCTAAACGATTTATTGGCATACCTATTTGTGCTAGTTTTGACATAGTTTCATTGCATGTGCTCATTATTATTCCAATTTGGTTTTTATGCATATTTATTTGATTTGTTTATTGTACTGTCTCACAACGATAAATAATCACGACCCGCTCGCATTACTAATGCAGTTCAAATATCGTTTCAAACATGTTCGTGTTCGGTGTTCGGCATCATGTTCGAGCAACAACCACTGACTGACGCCCCTTTTCAGTATGAGCGGCAAGTGTTGTATAAACTCGCGGTGGCCTTGCCAACATATTTAGCCGAAAAAAGGCGAGTTGTGAATATAATGCAGCTAACATGTGGCCATCCGTATGCCAAGGACATATACATGTTAAATAAGCTTGTTTTTCTACATTTGGGTCGTTACAAAACGAAACAAATCAACAACAAAGTGTATTGCATGAGTTCTAGAAGCCAAATATATAATATAATAGAAATGTAGCGTAACTGCGTTTGGAGTTTTATATATATAAGGTTCATGCGTCGATCATGGAGCCCAGTATATAACTTTAAATAAAGGTGAAGATATTATAAACAGTTTCTGAGTTTCTAAACTCTAATAATTTTGTAACTTTCGAAATTAATTATTTTTAGCTGACATCATTTACTAATTGAGCGGGCCATACAATACGTTTATAAATGTCGAAATGCGCTTGTAATTACGAAAAGTCGCAGTAAAAAAAAGGCTAGAATATAGCCATTTTACGGTTGCATCAGCTGTGTGAAGCAGCCCTTTCTTTTACGCTGCTCTCCGGGGCGCTGTGTGCGTTCGTGTGCATGAGTGTGCCTGTGTGTCTCTGTGTCTGTATGTGTGTGTGTGTGTGTGTGTGTGTGTGTGTGTGTGTACTTGTGTGTTATCTCGCAGCCTGGTTCTGGTTCAGTTTTCGTTTTCCGTTAGTGCAGCATTTATCCTCGACGACGTTGGTTGGTTTCGCCTTCGCCCTCAGTCATTGTCACTGTCGCTGTCGCAGTCGAAGTCGAAGTCGAAGTCGAAGTCGCAGTCGCAGTCGTTTCTCGCCTTGTCCGTTGGTGTTGTTATTTATTTTTTTTTTGCCGCTGCTTCTGCTGCTGCTGCTCTTGTTGTGTGTGCACGTTTTATTTATTGTTGTCGTGTGTTATTTGTTTGTGTTCTTTTTTTTTTTTTATGGTGCCAGTGCCAACTTACCTGATATAAGAAACTCAAACAAGGTGCGCAGACCCGGAGTCAGGGCCACGGCACATGTTGTTAGTTAAACCAGCGCCCCGAAACGGCTGTCCCCCAGACCGGGACACTTACCAATAAGTAAAACCCTCCCCCCCAAAAAAAAAAAATACAGAACGGAGAAAAGCAAAACTGAAACGAAACTAAAAGACAGCCCCCACTTCAGAGAGCTTCAGCTACAGTTACAGTTACTCTCTGCTTGTAGCATTCGCAGCATGCTTTTAGCTTCAGTCCAGTTATTGTTGCTGCAATAAGCAATCGCCAAATCACACACACTACAACAACAACAACAACGACGACAACAAAAACAAACAGAAATACACAAAACGTGCTGCGTGCGCTGCGTCGCTAAATGCAGTCGACGTCAACGTTGACGTCGCTGTCGTCACAGTCATCGCGTATTATGGGCCTAACCAAACAGCAACAACAGCAACAACAACAACAACGGGAAGAAGAAGAACATCAACAGCACTTGATACAAAAATAAACAAACAAAATCAATCAATTAATCAATCTGTGAACGCCCCAGGCGTACGCCCACGCTCACGCCCACGCCCACGCGCACTTCAAACTGCAACAGCAACAACAAGGACAACAACAACAAAGAAGAAGAAGAAGAAGAAAAAAACAACAATAAACATGTTCCAGTCAATTGCACTAGCGCTAGTTCTGGTCACCGCCCAATCTGTGGCACAGCTACCGAAGGATGCGAATGCTAACGCTGCCCTCCAGCTGCAGGCAACCGAGACGCAGGCAGCGGCAGCGGCAGCGACGCCATTCGGCAGCAAGCAGCTAACCAGATGCCGCCAAAGCTGCTATCAGCAGGTAAGCCCAGCTCAGGCCACTAAAGATAAGACGCACTTGATGGACACTTGTATGTGTAGTTTATACGGTACGCTCGACTGCTCCGAGAGACTCTCGAGCGCGACTTCAAGGTTAGCGTCTCAGCGGCAGCGGCAGCGGCGGCGACAGCAGCCCAAACGCAGCCCCGTTTGTCCAGTTGGGCAATGACAATGGGCCTGACAGACAGCACAGGCAAAGGGCAGGGCAGTACAGGGCAGGGCAGGGCAGGGCAGGGCAAACGGCGACGGGAAAACGTTTTGTTTACTCTATACGTAAACGTGAGCAGGAGTCTATTGGTTCATCTGCTGTGTTTGACGCTTAGCTAGGGTTTTTCCCAAATTTGTGTAAATACTCGCACCTTCGATAAGGTGTGAAAAGTATTACAGCAACGCCTGTTTATGAAGGACGGTTTAAGGACTTGCAGGCAATTAGATGAGCTGCTAACGACCACGCCAACCACTAACGCCTCATCTAACAGATGTTTCTTTTCGAAACAATCACTGTTGAAGTGTGACCAGCTTAATCGAAGATGCCTTACGATTGTTTCAAGCTTTCACAACACTGAACATACTCACAAATTTCTCCTTTTTTCGTGCTTTCAATGAAATTTTTGCTTGTTTTCCCTTAGAATTCAACCAAAATTGAATTTTTCGTTGCTTTTCTTTACTCACGCACCTGACCCCAGAATCGTCTATATTACCATCTAGATTTTGTAAAAGATCTTGCTGCTGTTTCTTTACCAATCTATTGTTCATGTTTTCATGCTTGGCATCTTTTGACTCGGAAAGAGTATTGCGCCGTCGATATCATCCGACTATAATGTTCTTAGTTGTTTTTTTATGCGGCTGGTCGCCTTTATCTGTTCGCTGACATCGCTGCCGCTGCTTCTCAGGTAGCTGCCGCTGTCAGTTGACAATGTCAGCTGGGTGGTCCACGCCAGTCATAGCGCAGCTAATAGAGATTAGGCAACTGGGAGGGAGATCGAGCAAGGAGCCACAATGCCGCAGGGCCATTGGCTGTGTTTCCGCGTGTTCCCTTGTGGAGTTGGCGGGCAGAGGAGGCTCGAACCCGCCAGCAGGGAGGGTTGCGAACAAATTCATTTCATTTCATTGAATGACTGTGGAAACAAGTATTCAAATCTACTTTAAAGAACAAATGAAAGAATTAAGAAAAACGAGTACAATTTTATACAATTAAATGATTGTAAGAACAAGAGCAAGATCTCTCTGAGTGCCTAGACAAAAGAGAGGGATTACGACTTTTATATCGGAAACCTTAATTTGATTTATAATCTAGACACATTTGTGCCTCGTATAGACAAGCTCGATTCGAATCAAATTCCAGAAATATATCTAAATAATATAGAAGCGCCCAATTTGATTTATAATACAGAATTACCTGAGCATGAAGCTTAACTTCATGCATAACCCAGAAGTAGTTCTGGATAATACAAAAAAGTTCAATTTGATTTACTTTCCAGAATTCGATGTGAAGAAAATAGACAAACTCAATTTGATTTATAATCAGGAAACATTTTTGGATAATACAGATATGCTCAATATGAAATATCTCTGAATAACATAGACAAGATTAATTTTATATTAAATGCAGATAAATTTCAGAATAGTGTAGAAAAGCCCAGTTTGCACAATATTTCCGGTTCAATTTGATCTATAATCCAGAAATACGTCCGAATAATGAGGAAAGGCTCAATTCGATTTATGATCCAGACATTTTCCCGGATACATACATAATACAAAAATATTTAGGGAACATAACGATAAGCTTAGTTTGATTTATAGTCAGGAAATATTTCTGGTTCAATTTGATCTATAATCCCGAAATATTTCTCGATAATAACGAAAAGCTCATTGTGATTTACAATCCATAAATATTTGCAGAGAAAATAGAAAAGCTCAACTTAATTTTTACCGAGAAGTAAATCCGGACAATATAGAAAATCTTAGTTCGATTTATAATCCAGAAATGTTTCTGGATCATAAAGAGAAGCTAAACTTAAGAAAAGCTCATTTTGATTTACACCCCAGAAAAACTTGCGTATAATATTCTAATAGCCGTATTTTTAGTGCTAATTGTGGTAGCTCTCGAAATTGTGTTACCAATTTACAAACAACAATAATAATAACTCGTTACGTGACTGAAAGCCAAACTGTGTTTCGTCTGCGTCTATCAAAATACGCAAAATTATCCGGCAAGCGACTGATTTAATTAATGCAATTATTTTAACAAAATGCGACAGAATGTTATTATTAAAACATAATTGTGTTTTTTATACCCTGAACCCATTCAAAATGGGTAAAAAGGGTATTATGTATTTGTGCAAATGTATGTAACAGGCTGAATGAAGCATCTCCGACCCCATAAATTATATATATTCTTGATCAGCATCAATAGCCGAGTCGATCTAGCCATGTCCGTCTGTCCGTCCGTCCATATGTATGAAGGCAAGGATCTCAGAACCTATAAGAGCTAGAGACTTGAAGAACTTGACTAGTGTCTACGCAGATCGGGTTTGTTTCCGATAATCGATAACTTGCCCCGTTTCCAAGCAATCGATAAAAATCGATATCGAAATGTAGCTTCTAGGATCTCAGAACCTATAGGAGCTAGAGACTTGAAATTTTAGATGTAAGTGCTCCTAGTTCCCGCGCAGATCGAATTTGTTTCCGATAATCGATAACTTACTCCGTTTCCAAGCAATCGATAAAAATCGATATCGAAATACTGTTTTTGAGTAAATAATAAGAGCTAGAGTCAGCAAACTTGACACATAGCTCTTAGAATAGTATATATATTTGCATTTGGCGTTGGAAGAACAGGGTTCAGGGTATCCCCTAGTCGGTAGCTCCCGACTAGAACCTCTTACTTGTTTATTTTTCTGTTTTGTTCTCTTCATGCTAACGTGTTAAACGGTACGTGACACACGTTGCGTGACGTATTATTTTTTAATTATAATTTATAGATTTTTCAAGCATTTAAATGACGTTTGATGCTTTGGGTTTTGCTCCTGTTGTATTCGGTTGAAGTTAATCGGCGATTTATTAGGAGAAAATGTCACAAATAAGTGTTGAAAAACGCGTAAATAAGTGCATTTTCTGTGGCAGTTTTCATTTTAATTATGTTGATAAAGTTTTGTCATTTGAGTAGATATTTCTTGAGTACAAGGAAGGAAATTTTCGTTGTTTGATTTAGCCCGAAAATTCTTTATGAAAATATCTACAGATTACGGTATTTCCAGTAGAACGGGCAGTTTTTTATTAAACAATTTAACTATTGCGTAATATGTTTTAAAATAATGTACGATTAACTAAGATTTGAGTCAAAACTTGGGCTTACCGATTTTAGAAGTGTACGGAGAACTTAAGACAGGAAGTTGGTTCGAACCGTAAGCCGCAGCTTTCAACATATTTTGGTGTTCGCAACACTGGTCAAGACTGTTCCAATCAATCCGAGAGATCGATTTCTGTGAAAAACCATGTTCAGAAATTTGAGATAAATGATATATGTTATATATGATATGATATGAATATGATAAGATATGAAAGGATATATGGTATATGATATATGATATGATATGAAAATTGCGCTTAAAAGATTTTAAACTGTTCTCTCTCCTCTTGCATCAATTATTAAATCAGATTCCTTTGACTTTTGAATCAATATCAATTCCATGAATTGAACAATTTATATGTATGAAATGCGTTTCAATAGAAATCGGTATTAAATGAAAAACTTTAACAATTTTTTTTATAAAGCTTCAAATGCTTCTTTCAACTGAAACGTAAAGTGGTGGCTTCATTGAATTCCTTTTGGAAATCGATGGCGTCTCCCCTAATGTCAACGTGGTAAAACTCGTGCTTTGATCCAACTGGCATCGCAGATGCAATCCGTTGACCTTTAAGGGTTGCCTGCAAGCGGCGGCCGTATGCACTGTGGCTAATTTCACGCCTGTCCGGCTCTAATCCCCGGCACAAGCCACCAACCCACGAACGAGCCACAATCAGCGCCAAATTAACACCATAAAAGTTGGCAGCATCCGAAGACTTTGTTCCTTGCATTCGGGTGACTTTTTCGTTTTGGGGGTGTGCGTTAAGAAATCGTCGCAAGCTGTCTCAGACGCAGGCACAGTTCAATTCGTAATGCCAATTGGGTATGCCGGGCACGTAGCCTTTGGCTGGTGCTGGAATCTGTTCCGACGGGGCTTCAATAATTGACAAGCGCAGCATTTGGCGACTACGTGCCACTGAAACTGCTCAACTGGGCAATGGGCATTGGTGGCGGCAGCGGCAGCGGCAGCTCATAAAACTGCTCAAAACTGACCTGGATGGGTAATTTATGTGGCCTGGGTGTGAAGCGATGTCCAATTCCGTGGGCAATTGCATGTAAAAGTTGTTCGCTGCCTGCGTTTAATTTATATGGGCCAGCAACTATGCCAGGTAGGCCGCAAGACGCACTGGCAGGGGGAACGGGGCGGAACATGGTCTGGAACGGACTATGTCGACCGGATTTGCCTGCTCAGCGTTTTCATTGAGCGTGCGGTGCGTTTCGTTTTCATTGCCAACTAAAGATGGCAACGTGACACGCACAATTTGCGAATAATGATAAAAATTGCAATTATTGAAACCGGCTGACACATGGAAATTTAAAACCAACTTTTAAATTTTACAATAAAGAAGCATGTACAATGTTTTACATAAATCAAAGCAATATATAGGGAAATCGTATTGAACACTCACAAATAAATTAGTCACTTGGTTTAGCCTTAATCAAAAACTAATATCAATGCTGACTTCTTGTTCTTCATTCGGTAACATAACCTCAATTAAAGCACACCGAGAAAGCATAGACATACGTATGTACATACATATATATGTACATACGTATATGCGTATCAAATGCCCAATTAACGGTTTTGTATATCTCATAACCTCACATAAAGCACATGTATGTAATATTGCAATTACAATTACAATTATGTTAACGATGCAATGGGCAATCAAAAAAAATCACGCTGCCATCTCTAATTGGTATTGCCAGTGACATACACACACACACACACACACACATTCATTCATTCGTTCGTTCATTCATTTGCCGCCTTATTGTTGTTACTTATCGCCCAAGTTGTTTCGCAAAGGCCAAAAATTCAATTGAGCGGAAAATATGTTGTCTTTGCGATTTTCCTTTTGGCATGCTCGTTTATCTGGCCGCCTTATTGTGTAATGATGACAAAGTGCTCCTGCTGCTGATGCCGCTCCAGAATGCTGGTTGCTGATGCCCGCCATCTCGTTCCAGTCGACAGAGTCACAGTCATAGTCAAAGTCCCTGTCCCTGTCCCTGTCCCTGTCCCTATCTCCATCTCCATCTCCATCTCCTTCTCATTCTCAGTTTGCATCAGCACATTCATTCATTTGTCTGCGTGCTCATTCATAAACTAAACGGACAGCCACTGGGAACCGGGCTCTGCTGCTGTGCCTTAGAGCTCATTGCTTTGCTACCCAGAACGTTGTCCAGCTGTCGCTGCTGCGTAGCTAAAGCGACAGTTGACAAAGGCTAAGCAGGCAGAGGCATACAGCATTCAACACACACACACACACACACATACACATATACACCGCAGTCACAGTCGCAGTCGCCATGTCCAGTTAGTTCACAGTTTCATCTCCTGCCGACAGCGTGAAAATTTCAATTCGCCATACAACTTTGCGGTCATTTATACAAACAGATACACGCACTCTCTTCCTCTCCCTCACACACACACACACAGAGAGAGAGAGAGAGAGAAACCGCTAGTCTTTTATCTGTGTGCTTTGGCCTTTTTTGCTTTTTTTGCAGTCAGGCCTTTTCATATTACAGTTACAAATTTGCGTCTATTGTTGGTAATGGCAATGCTGTGGCGTTGTCCTCGGCCAGTTGCCTGCGGCGCTGTGCCTGATTACTTTTTCTAGCTTACTTAAAATTCGATTAGGCCACGCCCACTAACTAACTTTTTTGTTTGTGTCGTTCTGGTTTTTGCTTCATCTCTTAAAATACATCCACTTCTTCTTCTTATTTTTTTGCAGTTTGCGAGGGATTGGCATTATTGCACGGATTTCGTTGATTGCAAAAATGTAAGTACAGCCGCGACCCCCAGCTCACCAACCCCCCACCACGCACTCTATATAGTGATAAGTACAATAACAGCAGCCCGAACAGCTCTAAGCTAACAGTTAATAACCGTTATGGTGCCTCTTAACCCATTATTGTGCTCGCTGACAAAATGTTATTAGCCTAAACAATATTTTGCTAGCCACATACATGATTAATCGCTCGAAAATGGAAATACTATGTTATTTATGGACAAGTCTGTTATATTTGATTGCAAACAAATCAGAACATGCCTTTACTGGAGAATGTTGTTAGTCTATTAATTAAGAGATGTTCATTCATTTCTTACTTGAAGCCGAATACTTTCGCATAGCAAGCTCTGAGTGCATAGCGCAAACATTTTTTGTAAATCAAGTATTCAATTTGTGGAGCATTCCATTTCAGTTGCTAGTCAAATTTAAACGAGAATTCATCAAACAATCAACTGGCACTTTTTCAATAAAACAAAAACTATTTAGCTGGCATAGCTTGCGGTACACACTGGCCAAAAAAAAAAAAAAAACAGAGCAACAAAAAGACAAAAGTGCAAAATTGCCCAATACTGGCGCATCAGATTTCAGTCAAAGCAAACTTATCGATAACAATAAGAGATGGCGGGCATCAGCAATACTAGCACAATGGCCAGTGTTTAAATGGCGCGTAGAAAAACCGTATTAATAACTATTAAAGCGCTTAAGATTTGTTTTCAAATGAAACATGCTGAAAATGTTGTCCTTCTGGTGGTATCACTTTTGAGAATGGATGAAAACGTGGGCACATTAATGGGTTAAATGTTTTTACTGTTGATTGCTGCGGGCGGCTGGCGAAATTGCGTTGTCAATTTGCGGGCACCGCATTTGTGACTCTCAGCGCATAAAGCCGTTATATGCCCCCTATAGTATGTATTTAATGATGCTACCGAATGCCCTGTTCCAAATGCTAACTATCCTACCTTACCCCGTGCTTACCTTCGATAGTGCTGGCAAAACTGCCAAAGGCAATTGGCGCCCTTTGAGCTGCGCGTACACCACGCCCAGCGGCAGGGTGCTCTGGTGCTGACCGACATCGGTTGGGACGAGTTGATTGCGAACGCATCCCGTCAATGCCTGATCACCTGGGAGGTATCCGGGGGCGGTCTCATGGGCAACCTGCTCACAGACACTGCACGCGCCGAGCTATCACTCTGGCCGGATACGGTCTACAACATACAGGTGACCTGTAAGCATAAGGTAAGCCAGTCCAGCTAACGCTTTGACCGCGCCCGAATTGTCATCCATACTGTTTCGCAGCTAACGGGCCTGATGCGTCGCTCACTGAAGCTCAATGTGGACACACATCAGCTGCTGTCGGCGGCAGCGGCAGCCAATCCTTGGACAAATCCAAGCCTGTTGCCCCTTGTGCCCGTGACAGCACCAGCTACAACAACAACAGCAACAACAACAATACCAACAACAATTGTGCAGCGTTCACGACCCACGGACCGTGTGTACATAATCAGTGCGCTGCCCACGGCCAGTCAGTTGAGCGGCGTTGTGTATCCGGCATTTGGTGCGTTGGCCTTCTTCCTGGCACTGCTGGTCATGTTCCTGTTTCTGCGTCCACAGCGCAAGCGGGCGTCTGATGGGGATGCGGACACCGCCTCGCTGCTAAGCGGACGTCGCTCGCGGCTCTCCATGGACAACTCCACGCTGCATGTGTAGGCGGTCAAAAAGCAAAGAAAATACAAAACTGAAAATCAACAAAAAAAAAAGAAAGAAAAGAGAACTTGTAGTCGTATATGTCTGACTATGTGATATTCTGCACCCAAATTGTACATAGCATAGACAACACACACATACACACACCCACCCACACACACACACACACGCACACACAACATATATGTAACCTACAACAACTACATCATATACATAACATACATATACGTATTAAACCATATGTAGTTATCGAAACAAGTATCTTACATCAAGTCCAAAAAGCATAAGAAAAGAGAAAAGATGAAACAAGTTCGCTCAATCGTATGTTTAAGTTTTACCTTTTTAGTGTTTAGGCCAAAAACAAAACAGTCATAAATATATATATATATATATATGCATAAATGTAATACCTATATACATTAACGCGTACACTATATACATACATATATCATAGTTATATATATATATATACATATTGCATATGCTATATACATACGCGTATTTAGACATAATCTAGGGGCCTCGGCCAACCAACTAAATACACCAAACTAAATGCAACAAATTGCTACAAATTTTTATGCAACATACAATTTTTTTTCTCGTCGCGTCGCTTTTTCAAAACTAAAATGAACAAAACAAATATTTCAAAATAAATAAATACAAAAAAAAAAACATATAACTAAAACAAAAGCAAACTTAAAGATCGCATGCCGTTTTCAATTCGTCGTCTATATAATATATGAAAGAAAAAAAAAAGAAAAACACTTAAAATAAAATCATAACAAAACTAAAATTCAACTAAAATCAAAATGGAATATTTTTCAAAATTTTTTAATGTGTATACCTAGCTAAAATGCATTACAAATTCAAAGCAAAACGTAAACTACATATAATATAATGAAAATCAATTAAGTACTTGAGCATGTCAACAACAAAAACAAGAACAACAAAAACAAAAAAGAAGAGTTTAAGAAAAGAAAAGAAAGCTTCGCTACGCAAAATGCCTGTAAATATTTAAGCGTCATTGAGAGCATTTGTTTATAATATATATTTATTTCTATTTATTTATTTGTTTTTTTTTCCCCTTCTGTATTATGATAATCTTGACGGTATCCAGCTCTTTTCCAGGTCAAAGTTTCCTATATAGTTTAAGCACCAGTAAAGAGCAGAAGAGGCTAAACAATCAACTGGTTTAATATAAATATCTGTTTGTCTGATCTAATTATAAATATATAGATGTAGTATATTTTATCTAAGGCTAGCAGCTGATTGCTTTTCAAAATCGGACCAACTTGCAGTTGTTTTTCCTGCTAGTATATGTGCTAACATTTTGTGTTCTTAGTTTTTTTTTTTTGTTGTTGTTGACTAAAAGCATGCTGCGCCATGCCTGTTAAAACTTGGCTCCATAGGCTCAACTAAACATAGCTATAGATAGGTACTACAATAGAAAAACTAGATACCAATAGCATTTAATACATAAACCATACTGACATACATATACATATACGTATATATATATATATACATGTGTGTGTAGATTGGCTAGAAGAAGCAAAGGCGCGTTAAGTCATAGATTAGCTATAACTTGTCAATATACATACATGCATATATATATACATATAAGTATAAATCGAAATCGAAATCAACTGTTTAGCCGGAAAAGAGCATACAAAATTCGGTGCGCACCGAAATTACTAACATAAATATATACACATATAGTATATAGCATAAAGTACAAGCATATATTTCCTGACTCATCAGCCACATTGGACATCTGTTGATCGACATCAGTTTTAATTATTCTAGTGAATAGTTTTAAGTTGAACATTTTTTTTATGACACTTCTTTTTTTTTCCTTTTTTTATTATGTCCCTTTATGAAAAGTTTGTTTGTAATACTATTATTTTGGTTTGTTTATGTAAATATAGTTTGATTTGTTATTGCAGCGCACTCTGGGTTTCATTTGCTGGGGTTGGCATGGGAATATATATATATATATATATATATATATATGTGTATATACTTTCTATAGCCGAACTAACTCATCGATTTTTGTGCTTTGGATGTTGATAAAAACAAAATGGATAACCACTTACCATATAAATTGGGAGCCGCAAAATATGCCAACGATAAAAAAGACGAAAAAAAAAAAAACATATAGAAGCAGCTTTTGTCGGGGGTGTGTGTTGTACCCCCGCCGCCACCCCGCCCCGTCCCGCCCCGCTCCACAGCGTCCCGCTCCCTGGAAGCCCAACCGTTTGTTGATGGCGAGGCGTTGTCCTTTATCCAATTGGCTTGCTTTCTCGTTGGGTTCCACCTAGTTATGGAGCTGGGATTCGACACCGACATCGCCGCCCCGCTTATTGTGTTGCAACATTTACATTTATGTATTTGTATGGGGTTTCTTCTCCAACTACGCCTCCTTCGGCTCCTTGTTGTTTTTGGTATCGTTTGCCATAAATTTGTTCACTGTGCCGGCGCATGAATAATTCTGGCCCACTTTAGCTTTTTTCAAACTTGTTTATTTAACCCAAAAACTTTGCCAGAGCAACACAAATGCATCAGTTGGGGCGTTTTTTCTTTCAGTTTTCAAAGTAAACTCAACGTTTTGACAAGATTTCATTAATTGCCTGCTAATCTGTGGTCTTTAAAAGATTCCTAATGGATTTATCTATGTTTTCTTTTGGTTTTTTTTTTAGCACTCGGTTGTCCGCTGACATCGGAAGCATCTTCTATTTATTCAAGTGTGCTATATCTACATACATATAAGTTCTGGAGGCAATCCGAGCATTCTCTGAGCTCACCGAGCAGCTCTTCATATCTCGACGCAATTACATGATTTGTTTTACAATGTAACACTTTTTCTTGTTCTTTTCTTTTATCTTGAGTTGCCGTTACCTAAGCCCCAACATCGTTACAGATTTTTCCACTTGAGGATTTGTTTTGAATTTCAATACAAAAAAATGGGGGGCAACATGTTGGGGCTTACCCCCAAACAAGCGGGGCGCACCCACACACTAAACAAGACAAATCTCAAGTTGCATTATCTCAAGTTCCATTTGGAGTTAGCTAACGGGGTTGGCTTCACCTACAAGAGCGCGCCCGTAGGTTGCCTGCCCCCACCCACCGCCCACTCTCTCTAGTTGTCGCTCTCTCTCGCTCGCACTCGCCTGCGGCATTTGGTGGCTGGCATTTGTTTGTTCGGCTGGCCACTTGGCTTTCAGCTGGGTCTCTTTCTATTCTACTCGTTCTCAAGCACTTTTTATAAACCAAATTAAATTTATATTGCCCCCCACACACCCCTCCCCCCCTGCTCAACCAGCCGGCCCAACAAACTCATACAATTCCCATTCCCATGCTCTCAACGCTGTCAACTGCCAATTAGCTGAGCATTTTTCAACATTTTAAATTGTCTTGCCGAGTGCGTGGCCCCAGACCCAGCCCCAACTCCGGCCCTGGACCCCGCTCCGGCCCTGGCTCTGGGGCGCAACACTTGAGTGAGTCGTTTTATGCGACACAGCCTCAATGCCTTTAGATTTTACTCTCATTTGCGCTGGCGCTGCTTCCGCTGCTGCTGCTGCTGCTGCTGCTGCTGCTGCTTGTTTGTTCTAGTTGCCGTTGTTTCTTCTTGTTGTTGTTGTTGTTGTTGTTGTTGCCGTCAGCTGTGCAGCGCGTGCTTCATTTATCAAAAAGCAATTACAATGTTATGGGCAATTCGATGCCTGATGCTTGATTTTGTATGCCCCTCGGGCTCCCCAGATACTTCTCTATTGGCCCGGCAGCCACCTGCTAAAACAAAACAAAGCAAAAATAAAAAAAAAAAAAAACAAAATAAAATATAACGGAAGGCAAGAGGAAGCAATGCTCCACAGTGCAAATGAACAGCTTTATTTCATTTATGTTTACATTCTTGTTGATTTTGTGTGTTTTACTCATTTGTTCAAACACAGCTGATATTAATATATATATAAAATATACATACATATAAATAAATTGCAAAGAAAAGTACAGATGAAAATTCAACTTGAACCGAAAAGCATATAGCGCGTACCTACAAACCATATTGTATTACAATAACAACACAAATTATTAACTTTAAGTAGACAAAGGCAAAAAAAAAAAAAGAGAAGAAGCTGCAGCAAAGCAACATCAAAAAATAAAATTAGACTACAAAACTCAAAACAAGCGAAATACTAGAAACACTACAGATAACTGAAGCGGTGGGTGGGAGGGAGGTGAGTAAAAGACGAATAACAAGAAGAAGAAGAAGCAGCAGCAGCAGCAGCCGCCGCCGCAACGGATGAGCAAGAAGAAGCAGCGCACAAGAAGACAAAAAGCGAGCATGTGTTTGTGCCATAAAAGGTTTCTCATTACAATTTTTGGCCAAGGGTCGCATCGTTGCACAAAATTACTTTTTTTTTTTTTCATTTCATTTCATTTTGTGTGCTTTTTTTTTGGTGCTGTTTTTGTTGTTGCTGCCGCTCTCAACGCCAGCGGCGCTGTCAGAGAGCGGGAGTGGGAGTGCAAGGGGCGGCGGGCATAGTAGGTGTTTGGCTGACTGAAGTGCTAGGGCGACGGCGGCAACCATTTGGGGATGGGGGGGCGGTCGGGAACAGGCAGCCGCCCAAAGGGCGATTGATATACAACACACAGCCGCGCTGCCATAGATGCACACATACATGCATACATACGAGCCCACACAAATCTATACATATAAACATGTATATGTATATATAAAGTATGTACACATAGAGATGCTTATGCTGTTTATAGCCAGCAGTTGCTGTGCCGCAAACAAGCACACACACACACACACACACACACACACACACACACACACACACACACACACACACACGCACACAGACGCACACACACACCGAGCACAGGCTAGGTTGCACGTGACAAGGCCAAACATGTTCGAGGCTGCGAAGTCAGCGCTAGGTTCGATGCAAAGGATAAAACATATCCAAATCCAAAATACCAGTACAGCCCAGTGCCAGTGCGTCGGCGCTTTGCCTCGCCTCGCTCGCTCACACACACACACACACACACACACGTATACACAGACACAATGGGCAGGAAACAGGCAACGACAGCAACAACAATGAAGCCTTGCCTTGCTCTTGATGCTGTTGCTCCCGCTGCTCCCGCTGCTCCCGCTGCTGCTGCTGCTCTTGGCGTGGCACAATTCGCGGGCGCTGTGCTCACATTTAACCTTACCAAAGGTTACGCGGAGTAGGCGCGAGCGCTAACGCCGCCGACGACGACGACGACGACGACGACGTTAGCCGACGACAGCTGGCAGCCCGAAGAGCTGTAAAAGTTCTGCCCCGTCACAGCTGTCTGTGCAGATATGGAGATGACGATGAGCTGATACTTTGCTAGCTTGGCTTGCTGCTGCTGCTGCTGCCGCTGCTGCTGCCGCTGCCGTTGCAATTGACAGCTGTGACGGGCGGGTAACATGTTGATGCGGGGCCGCATTGTTGTTATATCTGAGAGATTTCATCTAATTCGCTTTGCGTTACACTTGATTTTTTGGGCTTGTCTTATTAAAAGACAATCAGATTGGGCTTTTGGTATATTAAGGGCATGTGTCATTGTTAATCTTCTCAAGCATTTGCCAGCGCCAGCTCCCAGTCACCGCCACACTTGTGCCCAAATGAGTGATTTCTTTTCTCCGTTTCCTTTTCGAATAGCACACTCGTATATCACAGCATCCCAGCTGACTATATCGAATCACTGTGACTAATCACGTCAGCAGGATGTTGCTCGACAGGCGGCTTATTAAGTATACGTTAGTTAATCTATGTTAAGTACTGGGAACAGTTCTGTCAGTGAAAAGTTTCGAATGCTTTTCGCATTCATCATCATTTATCGTTTATCATTTAACTTTTCAATTTAACAGCTTTCGCTGAATCTAGCGGGAGGTCTCTGTAGATAGTTCTTATAGCCTTATATTTTTTCCAATAATAGCCCAGTTTTAATATATTAGTTGCTATTATTCATATAATTGTTTATTTTCTTAATTAGGGCCGCAAGCAAATATTACAATCAACACGGCTCTAGTCGGGTGCCCGACTATGGAATACCCTGAACATTCCCCTACCAACACCCAGTGCTGGTCGGACTAGTGGGAGAGGGAGGGAGGGGGGGGGGGGGGGGGGGGTGACGTTGGCTATAAAATGGGAAAATACTTGATCTGTGAAAACTATTTTCGATGCTAATCGGACGGACAGACGGATGGACGGACAGAAAAACGGACATGGCTAGATCGACTCGGCTGTTGATGCTGATCAAGAATATTTATACTTTATGGGGTCGGAGATGCTTCCTTCTGCCTGTTACATACATTTGCACAAGTGCATTATACCCTTTTTACAAAAGGGTATAAAAATGAATATACTAGCAGATGAACCCTAGCCAGGTCTTAATCGCTCTGTGAAACACACATATTTATATTATTAGTTTTGTCTACATGTATGCCTGTATAAGTAGGCACTTACCCAAAACTTATTTGATTACCATCTATTAGTATGATAGAACCAGACAAACATAAACATCATAATAAAATGTAGCAAGGATTACGAACCAAATATGGTCTACGTTTGATATAAATACATTTGTAGAGCCTACTTGAAATTGTGAGAATCGCAGAGTAGGGCAATTTTTTTCTTTTTGATATTTGAAAATGTTTTGGAAAAATGCGAAAATTTTTGATAACTTAAATTTAGATATAGTAATTATATTTGATTATGTGAGGAATTGGGAGAATCAGAGATTGAGCCCAGGACTCATAGATGTGGAGAGTCGAACCCTAGACATTGGTTCGAGCTGCAACTTGTTGTAAGCTCTGCAGGTTTGAATTGAATCTTCGACCATCAACAAAAGTTAGCTTGAGCTAAGAATGTTGAGTTGATAAATAATTAAGAAAAATTAATGTAATTCGATTCGGTAGAGCAGCCCAGTAGGCGTCGAGGTACTCGTAGCCTCGTAGGCCGAAGTCTAGGTAACTGGGCCAGTCAATATATTTCTTACAAACGGAACAGATCGACAACAGACACAACAGTAAAATAATAAATATATATATATATTTTTCGGTAATTTATATAAAATTTTGTTTTGCGTGAGAGATTATTTGATTCAAAAAAAAAAGGAAAAATACAAAAAAAAAAAAAAAAAAAAAAACGAAAAAAAAATAAAAGAACAACCTACCAAATGGACAAGTTGAGCAAAGCCAAGAAGGCGGAAATGTGCAATACATTTGCCATATTGGACGTGGACGGAAGTGGACTCCTGACCGCCAGCGAGCTGCGCGGAATGATGCGCGTATTTGGCTATGAGAACAGCGAGGAGGATGTGCAGCGCATGATTGACGCCGTGGACACCGATGGAACGGGCAAAATGGACTGTGCCAAGTTCTGTGCAGCATTGCTATGGAATCTGACGCCCGAGGAGAAGCTATGCGATGTGTGCAAACAGCCGAAGGGCGACGGAGTCGATGGTCCCAATGGTTCATAGTTCGAATTCAAAAGAAATTGTTATTTAGTTAAGAGTTAGGCTCTTCCCAAATAGTTATCGTTTATTCCTGTTATGCAATTATGCCCCATATATATGGCAGACATATGTTATTGAAATTTATGAAAAGAACTTTACGCCAAGTGATGGATTGTGTTATATTCCTGTTCGCAACTAAATACTTTCGAAAACACGAGCTGAAAATGAAGAAAAAACAAACAAAAACAAATTATGTCTTATATTGAAGAGTAAAAGAAAAGCGTTCAATAAAAATCTTTCCATATTATATAAGATATATATATATATACTTACTGTTGGCCAAAACTGGTTCGAATCTGAATCTGAAGAACATTTCAAAACTGACGCCAGCCAGTTCGGCTATACTTTTGGCTGGTTAGCTGGGTCGGCACAGCTCCTCGAGAACATGTTCGCTGGCATCTAGATAAGAGTTCGGTGTTTGAGTACATTTTCGAGCCGCTGCGGTAAATTGGAACGCGGGCAAGCTGTTTGCCATTGTCCGATTAGTATAGCATACTTTTTAGGGCCCGCAGACTCGGCATTTCTTCTGTCTGTGTCTGTTCTGTTTGTTCACAAATGCATATAGATATATAGAAATTTGGATATATTTTTGTTCAAGTGTTGTAAAACACGTTAACTTCGATTTATGGTAATTGTTTTGAAAAATCTCAAAGGCAACAGTTCGACAAATTTTACACATGTACATTCAAATGTATGCATATCATAAATATGTTTAGCTCGTAAATGATTGCAGCAAACAAGTTTCTTGAATTTTGATAGAATCGATTGCAGAATTGTTGAAAGGGAATACTTGATCGCAAAGCGCAATTGGTTAACTCTCTTCTGTCTTCTGATAAAACGAAATGTCGGCGTTTATTTCAGCTCAAAATGTTTGGATGAATACAAAAAAAATATATATATATGTATATATTTATATACGATATTGTACAATATGTTAATGTTGTTTTTATATTATTATTATTATTATTAGTTGTTGTTGCTGTTTTTATTTTACTCATTCTTGCTGCGAGACATATTTATAATTGTTGTATAATTATACATACATTATAATAATAGTACATAAATCTGGATTTCCTTTTTTAATTACCCCCCCCCCCCCTAAGTTTTAAGTTTTACCAGTTACTAAATAGTTGTTGTTGTTGTTTTTCGTTTCTTGTTTTTAGTTATATATTTTGTTAAATTTATTAATATGTATATTATAATTATCTAGTTCTCCACAGTGCTGTCTGCTGTTGCAGTTTCTTATTTGCTTTTGCAGTTGCCTGTCGAATCGTTTTTAAGTACGTGCGCACAGGAAATAACAATTTATCGAGTGATAGGTTGTGGAAATGTAGGCCACACGGTGTGCTGAGCTAATGTGCCGGCTTCCAACACTGCGCTCGCGTGTATCTGTGTGTGTGTGTGTTGTGACGTCACAGAGTGCAGGTTAATCCTGGGAATTGTGCCTGCACGCTGCCAGTCACACGTGTCTGAAGCCTTAATTAGTTTCAAACAAAAAAAAAAAAAAAATGGTTTAATACATATTACATACATACATAAGTGTAACAAATTATGTTTTTTCTTTTTATATATAATAATAATAATAATAACTGCGATGTCTGCAATCTCAATCGATAACGATCGATTAACATTATCGATATACTTCTGTTTTTAATCGGCAAATGCTAAGCTTGAATAAATGCGCTGCGTTTTTTGCTATACACAATTTGTCACATTTTTAGTTGCGTTTTTTGAGTGTTTTTTTTTGTTGTTGTTGTTGTTGTTTTGTTATGGCATAACAAAATGCTATTGTTAATTGTTGCAATTTACAATTTAGTGTTGTGGCTATATAATGTAGCTTGACGCTTTTAAATGACTTTATTGTCTTACATTAAAACTGAATGTTGTCTTTTACACAAAAAACATGTACACACACATGAAGGCAAATCATATTCATAATAATAATATTAATAATAGTAATCAAGAATTGCATACACGCAACGCGGACATTAATCAAAGATGTTCTCACAAAAATCATATGGGCATATAGGTTTACATATAAATATATATATATATATAAATTATGGTTTGCGGTTTAGTTGTTGTTCTTGTTTTAAAGCGCACACATGTCCACCATTCGTTGCGACAGTCTGGCATCGCTGTGCAATGCTCCTATTTTCCATTCTCCTGCACACGGACTTTCAGCTGGGTCTCTTTTTATATGAGTGAATGTATGTGTGTGTCTGTGTATGTGTGTGTGTGTGTGTGTTCGTAGGTGTTTTTCAATTTATTTTACAGTGTATGCGTGTGGCAACCTCTGTATTTAGCTGTGCTCGGTATATGTGTGTGTGTGTGTGTGTTGTCTTTAGACTTTAAGCTTAGACGCTTGCTTTAAAACACATTTACTCGTGCGATGGCTGCTGATCCGGAAAGCCGCTAACCTCCGTCTGCTCCACCAGTTGCTGGCCATCGAGCGTGTACTGAATGCGCAGACGCATGCGCAGTACAGCCTGTGGAACAGAGAAAGAAGCAGCAGCATTAATATCAATTATATAAAAAAAAAAGAAGAAAAAAAGTTATCGTCGAAAATACAATGCCCTTACAGGCTCAGAATTGCTTTGCCCAAAACCTTTATTTTTCTACCGATCGTATAGGGTCTAGAATTTAGTAGTCCAATATTAATAATGTATGGGGCACAGTAAACCTCGTAAAGGCTAATATATGTTGCTATTTGCACGTAAACTCGTGAGTCTGAGCTCTAGTCGAGAGTGCTCGGAATGTCCCAAGTGTACGTTCGTTTTCATTTGTTCAAAGCCAATTTTATTGTGCTCTCTACGTCGTGCAAAGTCGCCCTTCTTCGCGATTCTCATGAAGTACAAAAATTTGTGTTTGTGTGAGAGCAAATTGAAGAGGTTAAAGCGAGGGATAGAGTCTAAGCTATACCAGCTATAAGACAGTCTGACTGACAGACTGAATATCTAAACTAAAAAGAATATCCAAATCCTAGTTGAACACTGGTTGAGCTACTTACATTGGACGTAGCCACAACGCGCATTTCCTGCGTAATGACGCCACCTGGAGGCAGCACGGAGCCCGACGGCGTCAGCATTTGCAGTTTAAAACTCTTCTGCACCGCCGCCTGTTTTCAAACATGTAGAAAAAATTAGTGGCAATCCTATGAACAGGTAATCAATAAGTCTACACACCTGCAGCACATACTGCTCCAATGTATTGTCTGAGCTATTTGTGGTTGTCATAAAGATCTTCATGCAGTCACTGCCCGGCACCGGCACCAACTGCACTAGCAGTCCGTTCTTGTCCAGGGCCGTTAGCTTCGGACCCTGTGGAGGCTGCAATCCAAGAAATTTTTAGATTAACATACGAAGCGTAAGGGCTAATTTTACAATCATATACCACTGTCACATTGTTGGATGCCGCCGTGGGATTCAGTTCACCCAGCAGGCTGCTGCTATTGACATCGCTGCCAAGGGGCGCCAGTGCATGGACTGGCGCACCACCGGCAACGTTTAGGCGTCCCAGCATGCTCGCCAGATCATTGCCGTTTGTGGGTATGCTGTTGGGCATAGCGTCGATGCCACCACCAAAGCCGCTCAGATCGAGGCCACCGAGCATATTGTTCATGTTGGCGGCGCTGTTAGGATCAGCAGCCATATTGATGCCCATGACGGGCGTTGTTGTTGGCGCCGACATGTCCAAGTCGAGCAAATCAAGCAGATCCTGATTGTTGGACACTGTCGCATCGTTGTTTGCGTTGCGTGTGTTCTTTTTATGCACCGCATTTGATAAATCTGTGGCCATGGCCAAGTCGCTGGCACCCGCCGACAAGTCCGTGCTACCCAATAAGTCCAATAGGATGTTCTACAAAATTATATATATAGGTTTATTTTGATGCTGGATAGTGTATATTGTCTGGTAACTTACCGTATTGTCACCCATTGTATTCATATTGCTTTCGATTAAAGGATGCGTACTGCTGCCGCCAAGCTCGACGCCATTCTCGATGACATCCGGACTATTGTCATCGAAAGAGCCGCCGCTTTCGCCATTCTGTGAACTAATGCGACTAATCTGCATGGCGGGCATCTTTTCCAGTAGCGGCGGACGCAGGTGCTTATAGCTGCCAAAGAGCTGCGTAAACTCTACACCACGCTGCTGCAGATCCACATTCAGATGGCTGCCAAACGAGGTAATCAATGCCTGGATTTCTCTGCAATGAAGCAAGACTGTTATTAGCCGATGGCCAGGCGTGAAGAGTTGGAGATTGGATACTTACTCCACGCATTGCTGCAGGCGCGTGCTCAACTTGGCCAGGGAGACGAGCGCATATTGCTTGCTTGTGGTCGACACTTGAGCAGAGGTTAAAAACTTATGATACACAGCGATCAGATCGCTTTCCGTGGGACGTTCGAACTCTGTCCATGTAAAGTTTATAGAGAATTAAATTGTTCTTCGCAGATATTGTGTTTAATCTACTCACCATCTTCGTTAGCGCCATACATGAACAGATCACCGTACTCGCCTATGGCCCAGACGGCAACCTGGAGCAGCGGCTGCTTGTCCTCACAGTGATTGGACACTTGAAGCGATTCCCAGAACCGATTCGTGATATATGTTTGCTCTGGCACGGGACTGCTGGACACCAGCTGTATGGTGGAAGACACCACATCGTCGCGTACATAATTGCCAGCAGCTATCAAAACGCTCAATTGCGTATCCAGATGCCAGCGTGAATTGGGCGAATACCGTTCGGCGGCGAGAATCATGCCCGAGCTGCATTGCGCCTTGAACTCAGCATCGGCCTTCTCGAGGAACAGCAACAGCTCCTTGGTCATTGTACGTATATTTTGTGCATTGATCAGCGCAAACGATAGCTCCATCGCTCGTCGCCGTATCGATACATCCGGATCCTTGAGGCACTCCAATATGGTTGTGCGATGCCGTTGCACCGCCGACGTGTCCGCGTGCACCGTTCGCAGCAGCGTATTCAACGCCACATACCGTATATTCTTGTCCGAGTTGAGTAGGAAACGTCCCAGAATGTTCACAGCCAAGACGCGCAGGCCGCCTTCCGAACTGCAAATCAAGAAGCATGTATATTATTCATTTAGAAATAAAGTTGACTTTGTACTTGATGAGTCTTAAAGTTGGGAGTTGATTTACCAAAGCTAAAGCGATTTAATAACTTTCATCTAATTCTTAATCCTCATGTTTATTTAAATG